TCCTATCCCCAAATAAAACAATCTTAGAAATCTTTCTTTGATCACTTCCTATTTTTAAGTTATTTTGTCTTAAATTCAGGTATATCTTGCTTTCTGTTAGGTTTTATTTTTGTTAAAGCACAAGAGTGCATTTGCTCCACAAGGCTCACAATATGAGCTGATGCCCTTGTTTTTTGTGCCCCTCTCCATTCCTCTAGAAACCCATTTCTTGCTGCCCAGAGGTAACTCTACACATTCCCCTCTTACTCTGATTTTTCACCTGTTCTTTGCCTCCAGACCTCTATGCGATATGCCTCTGTTGCTATTTGACAGTTATAATTTTATACATTCTATATCAACTTTCTGTTATGACTTAAGTCTCCTCTCCTCCCTGCCTCCCATTCACTCCTCCTTCTTTCCCATTAGTGACATATAATGCTGTTGTTTATATTTTTGGGAGTTAACAATTATAAAATATTTTCGGTACTTACTACTCTGTAACAGACAATGGGATAGACATTCTAGAATGCAGAAAGATATCAATAGATCAGAATGCTCACAATCTAATGAGGGAGAGATGAAATGAATAAATAACTCTTTAATGTAATTATTAATGTGAGAGCAGCTCGTGTCAGGATGAAGGAATAAAACCTGTAGATGTTAAGGGAATGGAACTTGAGGCAGAGGAGCAATGACTTCAAGTGCTTTGTCGGGAGCATGCGTGCCTTGCAGGAGTAGCAACATACAAGGACAGTTGCTAATGAGACAGAAGATCAAAGTGGGAATGAGCTCTCACTTCCTACATCTTCTCTTAAACCAGGGGCAGCGAACTTGGTGGGAAGAGGCAAATAGCAAACATTTTCCACTCTTTGGTCCTTTCAATCTCCTTTGCAACTACTCAGTTCTTCTGTTGTGATGGGAGCTCACCACAGACAACAAATAAATGAACGGACATGGCTGTGTTCTAATTGAACATTATTTGCAAAAATCCTTACCACAAGCCATTGCAATGACTTTGTATTGTATCCTAATTGCAATCAAGATGTCACTAGACAGAGGGTTGTAAACTACACAGGAGCCCAGAATGAGTTTTACCTTTGTAAAAGATTGCAATGCACCTACACACATAGATACACACACATAAACATGAAGAGTACCGAACAGAGACCAGGTGTGTCCATAAAGCCTAAAATATTTACCGCTTGGCATTTTTCAGGAAACGTCTGCTAACTTCTGCACTAGAATCATAAAAAGGAGTGGAAGAGTTTTTATATGTTTTCATTCTCTGAAATAACTTCTCCAACAAAGGGATACCTAGGATACCCTTGAAGCAAACAGGACAAATCAAAACTAGTCCCATCTGGTTTACAGGTAGATCTACCGAATTTTCATGAATTTAATAATCCCTTTCTCAAGGAAGTCATTTCATAGCATTTCATATTTCAAGGCTGCTAACCACCTGTGGCTAATGACTTTCATGTGGAGCCATGTCCTTCCAGAAGCTTTAATTGTGAGCCACTGGGCTCACCTCCACCATCCATGAATAACTGATTTCTTGTGGGGGGCAGGGGGGAGGGGGGTGAGGTGGTTTATTTAGCAAGAGAATTGATAGTTTATACAATCAAAGGAAGGTTTTCAGGATCCAGAGCCAATTTGATTCTTAGGAACTAAATCAGGGCTTCACAACACTAGCTTTTTAACTCATCTTGCATATTTTTTATTCTGTGAGCATTTTGACAACATAGTTGAGGACATGGCTAGTAGTTACTCTGGGGTCACATCTTTACAACTTCTAACCAAAGAGAAAAGACATTTCTAGTTGCATTTAGAAATCTACCTGCTATAGGCACATTCCGACACAGTCACCAGAGATGACTGTTTTTGCCAGGCTAGAATAGTGTGCCCATAGCAGCACAAAATGGTAGCTTCCACAGAATAACACGTCTATTTCATCCAGGAGGTTCTTTTAGAGAAGTGGTACAATTCCTTGTACACAGCAAGCACTAAATAAATGTTAATAAATAACCCCTTAATTTGACAGGAATGCTTAAAATAAAGCCAAGATCAGGAGAAATATATATTCGTTTGAGAACATAAATTCGTTTGCTTTGAATTCATTTTTGTGACACACACATAGTTTAAAACCATCAAAATTTTTAGTTTCCAAGTTTGGGACTGGTGACTACATGAAAGTGAATTCAGCATGTTTTCTGCAACCACATTTTTTTTGGCAAGTTTCTGGGAGAGGTCTATTGGTATCTTTGGTAGCTAGGTAAAGTTTGGGACAATTTTGAGTGTGATTTTCTTATATTCAATCAGTCTAATTTTAGCATTTCTTCTTTACAGCTTTTAAGACTACAAAGGAGGAGAATGGTATTTAATATTGGAAGGACATTTTTTCCCTTCTTTAAAATTTATCTAACTTCATGTAGGGTCTCGGTCTTAACTCATTAGTCTAGTCATTTGAACAAAATTTAACACTGAAGCGTGGCACTGTGCTTCTTAGAGACAGAAAGCTGTTTCCCAGGAGTCCACTTTTAACTACTTCCTCAGAGCTAATGTGCTCCCTTTTTGGGAAACAAAAACCTCTTTTCTCCCTCTAATGCACATTAATCAGGAGAACTGTGTGAGTAGAAGAATACCAAGGGGCAGGAGGAGAATGCGGGGGAGCCCATCTTCAGCATTTTTTTTAAATACTCTCAGCAAGATTGAATGAGGGGGACACCCCACTTTTAATTTCTTAGGATATATACTAGCTAGGAGAAAAAAAATATCAGTTTTGGTTTTAAAATACCCTAACTTTGTATATCCAAAGCAAATCATGCAGAATTCAGGCAGATGATGTAAAACGGAAATTATATAGCATCAATTGTTTGCATGGTAAAGCACTGATGTGGTGTCATGTTCTCATGTGTTTACCTAACAGAAAATACTCGGACACTCTTTCAATGGCTGTTTCCTTCTTCTGCCGTCCTCCACCCACTCCCACTCCCGCCTAGTCTTCCTCTACACACAGCTTTTTTGTTTGTTTTTGCTCAGAGGTCCAGAACTATATTTAATGATGTGTGTAAATGTAGTTTTATGATAATAACATCCAATTCTTCTCATTACATTCAAAACCATAGCCAAAAAGATACCTGGGATTTCTTGTCTTTTAGTATTTGGTTTTTATGGACACTTGGTTGGGAAGTTTAAAAGTGTTTGCTTTTGCTACGCTTTCAATGTAAACATGTTATTCCTAGCTTATACTTTGAGTACATTTTGTTTTATTTTATGATCTTTTAAAAATTTATTTTATTGATACATATGTAAAAATTGTGCATACTAATGAGGTGCTGTAGTAGTTCAATTCATTGCACATTGTAAGATGTTTAAATCAGTTAAACATACTTGTCTCCTTGAACACTGATCATTTCTTTAAGCAGAAAACTTTCCTCTAGCTTTGAAAATGTACAGTACACGTTTGTTATCTGGTGTGGCTGCTGTGCACTGATACATCAGAACTCCTCACTCATACTTACACATAACTTAGCACCCAGTGCTTTGAATGCATTTTGAATTTATTATCCTAAGAACAGCTCGTAGATCCAGAAGAAAAGTCAGATACAATATCTTTACACTCTGTAACTATTATTCTGTGTATTTCTTTTCAGGCTCTTGCTCTATGCATGCTTTATGTGATTATAAATTGTAAGAGGTGCTTAAAGTGCTTTAGCTGCAAATCATGGACTTCTTACTCAGGCCACAAATTAACTAATAGCAGGAAAAAGCGTGGTATCTCTCCTCCATTTTGTGTCTGTCTTTGCTCTAAGCCATTCTCTCTGCAGTCACCTTGCAACCACCTTAGATTCCAGGAAAGACAGATAACATCTTCATGACAAGGGATAAAATCTATCCCTAACAGTAGACCTTCTTCAGAATGGACCACCTGACAGTTGACAATAAATCCAGATAACAACTTTGGAACCTCTCCTGGAACCCTTGGACTGAGATAATGGTCAACCAGAACACACCTGTGACTGCGACTGTTTAACTATGTGTATCTTCGTCCTCTGTCCCCAGTCCTTTTGTCTATTTAAACTTATAACTCATGTCTGTTCCTCAAAGTGCTACCTCTGGTTCTTCCCATGGCACTTCCTGAGCTATACCTCTTTATTTGGCGTTTAGGGGTGGGGGCAGAGCTGGCATATGGAATCTCAGAAGTTTGGGCTTTGGGTCCAAAACCTGACTTCATAATTATTGTTTAATTTTGAAAATAGGATTTTTTTGGTGATTCCATGAAACAATATGTAAAAGAATATGCATTTTCTACTTTAAGAGATCACCTAGTGCTGATGAAAATCAGAAAATGACTGTTTTCTAGAGTCATTGTGATTTTTAAATTTGTCACACTCAGATGATTTTAAATACTGGTTTATTACAGGTCATAAGAAATAACTTTATCTTTTAATGTTGAGTAAAACACACATTACAGTTGTTATGAGTGTAACAACAGCGCTACAGTGTAGACTCTAGCTTTGTATTACATTTTGTGTTGCTAGGAAACACAAAAAAATATAAAAGTAAGTATACAAATTATAAAATCTAAATTTGTTGTTATAAACAGTGCCTTTTGAGTTACTTTCTACTGTCAAAACAGTTATATGGAAAACATTTTTGTACGTGAGTTAAAGAAAAAGAAACTTCTTAAAATGCAGTGATCATTTCCTGTTTCATTTTTCATTTTCTTTTTGCTTGGAGGGCTTTTGTCCTTCGCTCAGAGTTGCTTGGAGCCTCTGGGAAGTCTGTTGTGGATTTACTTCTTTTGGATTGGTTAAGGTCCCTTTTTAAGTGTATGCTTTGTTCTCGGAAAAGCTGAGGTCAGTAAGCAACATGCGCTACTGTTTAAAAAAAAAAAAAAAGCTGAGTAATGCTGGAGCCTTCTCATGTGGCTGATGCAAACCTGGAGAGTTTCATCATCATGTAGTTGGAGTAAGTTGGTGTGACAGGCGGGAGCTTAAATACAAGCCCACGAGGAAGCTGCGCTGGTCTGTAAGGACAGCGCAGCTGCAGCCGCAGCAGCACCAGAGGCAGTGTGCAAGGAGAGGAGGGGTCGGAGCACCGTGAGCACAGGTGTTTCTGAGGAGGAATCAGATAGCAGCGAAGGCTGCCATACACCTCTGAGTTTTTACCTGTCAACACAGTAGCGTTAGAGACACTGAAAGCAAACAGGAAGACAGACCGATCAGTCACACCAAGAGACACTAAAGTTAAAAGTTTTTTTTTTTTCTTTTTTTTTTCCTGTTTTGTTTTCCCCCCTGGTGTGTCACTTACTACCATGGTCAGGAAGCCTGTCGTGGCCACCATCTCCAAGGGAAGTTACCTCCAGGGAAATGTGAGCAGGAGGCTGCCTTCCATGGGCGGCAAGGAGCCACCTGGGCAGGAGAAGGTGGTACTGAAGAAGAAGATCACTCTGCTGAGGGGGGTCTCCATCATCATTGGTACCATCATCGGAGCAGGCATCTTCATCTCTCCTAAAGGTGTGCTGCAGAACACTGGCAGCGTGGGCATGTCCCTGACTGTCTGGACCGTCTGTGGGGTCCTGTCACTATTTGGTGAGTGCAACTTCTCTGGGGGCGGGGGAGAGGGTGTGTGGTGTGGGGCTGCAGAGTTTGCTCTCTGAGAGAGCAAAGGATTATTTTTGAGGAGTAAAGGAATGGCAGAGACTACAGGAAATGTTTTGATTTTTGTTTAGCTATGTGATCTACACAAACACAGTGTCCACTGTTGGTATGATCCTCACTTCTCTGAAACTCCTTCCTGCAGGCTATATTCTCTTTTCCTGACTAAGAGAAACTGTCTTCTGACTTTTCCCTGTGGTGATGAGAGCAGAGACTAACTTTGATGACCCACAAAACACATGCCAACTTTCTGACCCAGGGCCTGTGTTCAGTTACTTGAGTTTGGGGCACTTTGGCAGCTGGCACGCTGAATGAAACACCTGTGAGATGAAGCCTGGCGTGGCCTATTTAGACACAGGACTGAATATTCAGCAGAAGTCTTTCTGGCAGTGGTGTTTAATTAGCAAAACGAATGAGTGGCAGTCTTTTTCTTTCTGCATTCTTTAAGTTTTTGTGCTTGTCAGTTCTTAATATTCCTTTTCAGAAGTTCTTGACGCAGACAGATCTGTGATGGGCATAACTCAATCCTTGTTATAATGGACTGTTGTAATGGCTTGAGCTGATTTCATTTTTTTTCACAACACCTATGAAGTTTTGCAATATGAATTTGAAAACGTCACTTGGGTGTTAGTTTTCTGTACTTGCCCAGAACTGTTTTCTTCATTTGTATTTCACTCGGTCTCCAGGGAAACAGATAATTTGTCCACCTGTTCACTGAATTAATCTGAAGAGAGCTGGTAGAAAAAGGGTGATGATGATTAATTTTTCTCTTCAAGAATTATGTTTCTTCTATTGATTTGAGAATTAAAGAGTAAATAAATGCTCCCCATCAGCTGGGAAAATTACTACATAGCTAGTTGAGTTAATTGTAGAGGTAACAAAAACTAGTGAGTCATTCAAAAGCATTTTTTTAAATTTGATTTATGCTATGGGATAAATGCCTGCTCTTCTCTGGAACATACTGTACTTTGAGTCCAAAAGATACCATACTTTAAAGTTACTAACACTTTGTCCTAACTCTAAGACAAAGTACTAACTCTTGTTCCTACCTGTCGCCATCCATTCATTCTTTCAACTCCATTCTGTGATTTTTACTCTATTTGTTGGGGAAGTTACTTAGAGAACTCACATTTCCATTTTTAGGAAGAAGATGTTTTAAATAAAACTTGTTAAATCAAAGTCTTAGTATGCAAGAGCTATAGAAGAATTCTTTTTAGTATTTAGAAAGTGCTTGTGGTCTGGCTTCTGTGAACAACTAGTGCTTGATAAACTATTTCGTGATAATCCTGTGACATTATTTTCTCAGTGTTACTCTCTATCTTGCAGAACACTTTGGAGTAACATGGTCTTGAAAACTTCTGATAGAACTTTAGCTATTATTGATACTATAGTGGTTCTGGTATATGCATGTCTAGGTAGACAAAAGAAACTTCATTGCTGCTCATAGGTGACTTTGTGTGCCCTTAGCTTTTAATCTTCCTAGAGTATTTGATATGTTTAGAATAAATCAATATCTAATCAGAAAAACTGCAAAGTCCAGTTTCCTGGACTTTGCATACTTATGTACATGCAGTTCCCCCAGGTGATTCAATTTTCACACACAATGAAGATATTTCAGATGTAATAAAATAAATGACTTTGGATATTGAACTAGTTGAAGTGGTGCTGATGAAAAATGCTTATTCATAAGCAGATCATCTTACACAGAAGCTCAAAAGAAGATAGAAAGCAAACAGTTAAGGGAGTGTAGCTAAGATTATACTGGAGTTGATATTTTTGATTACTAACTGCAGGGCGTATGTTCTTCAGTTAACCAACTTACCTGTATTTGCGTTATATTTGTCACTTAAATTACTAGTGGCTTTTTGTTTTGTTTTGTTTTTTGGACAGAATTGGCTCCCTAATAGGAAGCAAAGTAAAATATATGAGAAAAAAATTATTTTTCTTGAAACTCTGGGACTGAGTCAAGACTCTGGATATATAATCAATTTACAATGGCTCAACTTGTGTTTTTTGACCTTACAATGTGAATAATAATAATTTGCTAATCAATAGATTACATGAGATATCCAACACTTTATTATAAAATAAGCTTTGTGTTAAATGATTTTGCCCAGCCATATTCAATGTGTGTCTGAGCACGTTTAAGGTAGGATGGGTATATTAAATGCATTTTCTACTTAATAATATTTCAACAGTATAAACCTTCTGTAACTGGAGAAGCATCTGTGTTTGATTTACCACTTTTTTAAAAGCCAGGGCAAATACTTGGACATGTATATCCTGTTTTGAACTTCTTTCATCTGGGCAAAATGGAGCTTGAGACCTTTAAATGAAAATCTCATTCTCCCAGAACTCAATTTAAACCCAGGGCAATCATTCTGGAGTCTCAGCAATGAATACAGAGATGTAGGTATTGATTCTCTGACAATAATTTCCAAGGTGCTTAAGACTTTCCAGTAACATTTTATATTGGATGTTTTTCTGGACAACCTACCAACATGGCGACTATTTCCCAACAGAACATGAATCACAGTTAGTTGTGATTAGTTCTAAATATGTGAAATAGATCAGAGGTCCCCAAATATCCATCTGCAAACTAGTTACTCCAGAATTAAAAAAGTGTAGAGATACCTGGAGTCTGGACTCCCTTTCTTGCAGAGTGGAACTAAGATACAGGTTTAGAGTTTATCTTTTCATTTGATTGATTTTGAATTAAAAAAAAAAATTCCCAGTTGACTCTGATGTAAGGCTAGGCTCAGGAATCGGGGGGGAGGAAAACTTAGATTCACTAAATAGCCAAATTATATTTATTTTTAGCAGTTCTATATAAAGGATCACTGATTAGTAATGACTTCCATAACTAGAGTCTCTGTAGTAGCTTGGGTAAAAATCCGTGTGTTACATTTGAGCACTTAACAGTGTGGATACAGCGTTTCACATGATGCTAAGATCTATTTTTCATTGTCTTGATAATTAGTTGCTCAAATTATGAGTATAGATATATTTCACATAGTGCTTGCCAGGCGTCAGGCCCAGTCTTGTCTTTGGTACTCACCATTGTCACATTTATACACATAACTCCCTTATGAGGTAAAAATTTGTATTTTCATTTTATAGGGGAGGAAACTGAGGTTTTAGAAGGTTACATAACTTTCCCAATACCATTTGGACTATATTGCTAAATGTTAAAGTTTAGCTCCTGGTTAATTTTTCTTAGTGTATGATAATGTGCATTATAGTGTGTCTTTTTAAAAAGTATGCTCTTTTACCCAACCAGGGTACACACTTCCAAAACATCCAAGATAACTTTTTCTAGAAAAAGGATAACTGGATGAGAATTCATTTTGCTAACAAAAATATATCCTGTGAATTAAATGAACTCTTAAAAGGCACACAGTCCATTCTTCTCTGAAGAACAGATAACTCGTATTTACTTTGATTTACTACAGTTACAACGTTTGTTAAGAGAGATCCTAACATCGGCAGGTCAGTTTGGGATAATTATCTTGGTGTGAGGTGTGTTCTTCAAAAACCAGTCCAAATTATTGGCGTCTGTCCTGTCTTTCTTGCTCCCAGGATTCTGACTCCAGTTTCTGAATCACATGTTTTGGGTTTAGAAGTTTGTGTGTACCATTTCAAAGAAAATGGCATTTTTCAAGTAGAATGAATGAGCTCTCAAATGTGAGGAAGTTAGAAGAGGAACTTGCTGGGTCGCAGTAACTAGATGATGACGGTTGTTTTGAAATAGGATAACGTTCAGACCTGAGGAAGTAGCTGCATCCCAGGTAACAAAACGTTGTTGTATAGATTCTACCACGAAGTGACTTGGCCATGCATTAAATTTGTACCTTTTTCTTATAACTCTTTCACAGGAGCCTTGTCCTATGCTGAACTGGGAACAAGCATAAAGAAATCTGGTGGCCATTACACATACATTCTGGAAGTCTTTGGCCCATTGCTAGCGTTCGTACGAGTCTGGGTGGAATTACTTATAATCCGGTAAGAACATGGAAAATATTAAGGAAAAACTAAGCCAATTCATTCGTCTTTCATCTGAATACTTTGATTATTATTTAAGTAATTAGAAATATGCTTGTTGTGTGACCATGTTGTAAACATATATGTTCAGGACATAAAATCTGTGATATAAACATCTTTCCAGGTTAATATTTTAATGCTGTTTTATCTTGGGCAATGGTTCACCAACAATGCCAAAATTTAAACTACTGCTTTCCTTTTGTCTTTGGTTATTTTCCTTTATGGTTCTAGGGAAGATGCTTACTTGGAAGAATATAAATAAAGCATTAAGATCCATCTTGGTAAATTGTTCCTTTAACTGACCAGATACAATTATGTAGGCTAGAGATTGGAGCTTTCTCCCATTGTGGAATAGGTCAAGTCTTTTAACTTTACTCCATCTTTGTGACTAAGAAATTTCTTTGCCAAACAAGTTAGCGTGTCATCATCTTATATTTTATGAAAAATGAACTTTACATACAATGAATGACTCACTTCCTCACATCAAGTGAATCAACAGACTGCAGTTGTGAAAATCTTTTGATTATATTGCTGTAAGAGTGTGTTTCCCTTCCTGATTTGCTTGGGACCAAATAGTGCTAAGTCATTCTGAATAGCAAACTTTGGGGTAACTTATGATGTCATCAAAGCTGTTTATGAACTTTCCAGTCCCTTAAGGATAGCTGCTTCCATAGGATGTGACTTGCACTTTCTGGTTAGAATTGAATGGAAATAACCAGGAACACTTGTTGTTACTGGAAACTTCTCAAACATGTTTGAAAGTTTAGGTGAGCTTTCATCCTGTCATTTACAGCAAGTGGCAAACACAGAGCTAATAAGTCATTAATGCCAATGACCTCTATGGTGTTAGGAGTTTCCTTTTTAACAAAGAGCTCCTATACACTGCCTTGTTAAGTCTATTCCCACTTACAAAAATCCTGCATTACTTAAAACTTGCTCTAATTAAATAATGATAAAAAGAATTTTTTACTACTTTTCTAAGATCCCCTACCTGTTCCTTTTCAATTGTCTGAATTTTATACACACCTCAAGATTTCACTTATATCTTTCACAGTTAATTTTCTGTTTATTTTATTTTACTGTATTTTTCATCTCTTAATGCTTCTGAAAAAAATGCAGTCTCCTCTCATTTGAGATTAAAATTAGTATCTTGTATTTTTGCTTAATATTTTAGGTGTTGGTGTTGTTTCCCTGTTAAAACTGCAAACATTTCAAGTACATAAAACAAGGTGTCTCACTTTTCATGACCCTTACACTGTAGAGCACTGTGTCTCTTAGGTTTAAGCTCTTTTTTGCATAAATGATAGAAAGTTTAAAGTTATACTATTGCAAATGCAATGTGTTCAGCATTCAAATGAGTGCACCCCTGGTTTAGAGTGTTGGCCTGTCAGGCTGTTGAAATCTGGAGTCTGGTATCGCCAAACTTGAATCCATCTTCATCCATGCGCTTGTACCTTTGGCTAATTGCTTGGTATTATTATGTGCACGATCATTTCATTTGTAGCAGCACAGGTATGATACTCATTAATTTATTCACTCTACAAACTGCTAGTGAATGGTGAATATAAAAGTATATATGAGAAGCACAAACAAATCTAAATTGGAATGAATCACAATTCCTGTTCCCAGATAGCTGATAGTCACATTGCTTTAATTTTGAAAGCACTGCTTTACAGTGTGTGTGTGTGTGTGTGTGTGTGTTGGCAGATAAACTGGAGATAAATTCTAGAAACTTTTTATTGTGTTTGTATATCCCTTTGTCATGCTGGATTCATATTTCTGGGTTGATCTTTAAATAGAATAACAAATGACTTTAGGAGAGATAGCTCAATTCTTAAATATTTCTCTTCTATTACTAATACCTATGACACCTAAATATTTCCCATTAAAATTATACCTTCAGATTCAGTCACTCTTGCCAGAAATAGTCTGTGAAACCAATTCAAATGAAAGAAAAATCACTCACTAGTGCATAACAGGGATCATTCAGCTGAATGCACTTGTTCACAGTATGTTCAATAATGGTTAGGTTTCTACTGTATGACAGTCACTGGGGATAAAATCACGATGAAGATGGATGCAGTCTTGTTCCCATGGAATTCAGGGTCAAGTGGAGGGAAATAGTTATCAACCAGGGAATCATCACATAAGTGAATATAAAATTGCTACTGTGATAAGCACTGTGGAGGAGAAGCCAGGGTTCAGTAAGTGTACTGTGTGGCAGATCTGACCCAGTCAGAGGGTTGGAGAAGCACCTCTTCTTGGACCAAGCAAGACTGAACCAAGATCCAAAGTATAAAAAATAGACAATGTATTGAAAAGGCTCCAAGCAGAAGGGATTCAGATCTTTCTAGTGGCGAAAGCCAAGTGAAGTGGGACGGAGCTTAGATCAGAATTGAATGCAGTGGGAGGGAGTTTAACATGTCCAGAGTGTGTTTTGAAAATGCTGAAACAATGTAATCAGACTTTTAGGCTACCCACGGGAAAGTTCTATAAATGATAGCAGCAGGAAAGATTTCCTTTGCAGGAAAGAAAAGACAGTCTCTAGGACAAGAACTGAATCAAGAAAATTATGGTGGTGTCAGTATTAGCAGGCATTGTTGGGAACACATAATGGTGTTTGGTTTTCTGATAACCTAGGGATCAGGTATGTGTGTTAGGTAACCACGAGAAGGAAGAGAAGCTGAAGGGAAAGTCGGGCTTGTGAAATTAGGTAATTCCATGGACTTGTTTGCATATGGAAATAATATGAATTCATATATATTTCAAATGAAAAGGTACATGCAATTTTCTTATAGAGTCAAAGAATTGGAGTGACTTGTTACCTGTGTTGCTATATACCTGAACTGATTTCATTTTCTTTCTTGTGCATTTCTTACTTATTATAAATTTACAAGAGAACTTTAATTTTTTCAAGTTATATTTTTCATCTAAATATTTTATGAAATTAAGAATAATACTTGTCTCTGAGCTTCTATACTAGAAAAATAAGAATAAAGCAATGTCACGTATTTAGGCATGTATTAGCAAGGAGCACTTTTTTGGGGTAGTCCTGGGATTAAATTCAGGACCTTGCCTTGCTGGGTCAGCACTCTTCTTCTAGAACCAAACCTGTGGTTCTTTTGCTTTTAGTTTGTTTATAAGATAGGGTCTTATGCTTTTGCCCAGACTGACCTTGAACTGCAATTACAGGCATTCACTACCACACCTGGCTTGTTTTTGAGCTAGGGTTTCACTACTCTCATGCAGGCTGGCCTCACATCAAGATCCTCCTATCTCTACCTCCCAAGTAGCTGGCATTCCAGGTACACACTACCACACCCTGCCTAAGGAGCACTTGTGAACACTAAATTTTTAAGTTGAGTTTTGTGTTCCTTCTCTTCACTGTGCCCCACTCTATTACCTCTGTGCCATTAACTGTGGAGTTCAGTTGTTGACTTACCTAGAAAGAAGACCGCTTCTCATAAAGCCTAGTTCTATCAGGATTTCTTGTTACAAACTAAACTTTTAAGGGAAAAAAAAAGTCAAATATTGAGAGAACAGGGGCAAATTGATAGTGTTCAGCTTTGTTACCAAAGGTATTTAAAAACTAACCACCAGTGTTACAGGCAATATTTCATTTGGAATGTCTATGGCAACCTAGTTAAATATGGAGTTCTGAAAACTACAGTTTCACATTCAACATGTTTCATGTGCTGAGTAGTAACACTTCCCAACAGAAGAATTTTAGTGAAAATGCTATTCATTTTTTCTATGGCTAACTGAAATTTATGTGTATATATTTTTTAGCCCTGGAGCTACTGCAGTGATATCCCTGGCATTTGGACGCTACATTCTGGAACCATTTTTTATTCAATGTGAAATTCCTGAACTTGCAATCAAGCTCATAACTGCTGTGGGCATAAGTGAGTATTACAGGTAAAACATGAAAGAGAAAACAACACAAAAATGATAGGAGACAAGGTTTCTTCATACTCTGTAGATGTCGGTACTCTTCCCCAAATTGCATTCTTTTTGCTTACAGTTCAAAATTTGTGCTGGAAAATATAAACAAGAACCCAGATTTGGACTGTTTTCTGCCTCTACAATATATGGCAGTTTTTCATTGACTTAAAAGACATGATGGCTAATCTTTTAAAATAGGCAAAAACTGTGTTGCTAGTAAAAAATTAAGATGATTGCACACAAAGAGAGAGAAACTTGAGATGAAAATCCTGCTAGTCTGTGGACCTTTTTGAATTGGAAATTATCCTACCTAAGTGATAGATTGAATTACAACTCAATTGTGGTCATGGAATTATATTTAAGTGTTGGACAGGCATATTGCATTCATACAATTCGTAGTGTTAGTAGCTGTCACTCTCAGTGTTACAGTTTTCATTATCTGTTATTGGCCAGGATTACAATTTTCTCCCCAGACTGGTCTATTAGTAGCATTTTTCTACTAGGAGATTTCTTGATGGTTTACAAATTAGGAAGTTATTTATTTTTTATCAATGGGCCTAGATTTTACAATCAAAAAAAGAGGAAGTAAAAGAGTAAAAAGTACAAAATAACATAATTGATATGATGCCAGATCTTACTGTAATTTCCTATAAAATTCTAGAATATCATGCACAAGGGTAACTATTCTAGATGATAACTGGATCATTGTTTTAAGAACCAATATGGCCATATTTGGTTAAATTTTGATAACTAAGAAATAGGAAATTACCCAGGAATAACTGAATCACAAGCTATGGATTCAACAGACAGTAAGAACAATGCACTTTTGAGGATAGAGAGGCACTGTGGCTAGTTTTCAGAAAAGAGTTAGGAGTTACATATAAAAATACCTCTTGTACGAGGAGCACTTATTTCTGAACTTTGATAGGTTTGTCCTAAATTTCTTCCTCTCCAAACATATGGTCACAATTATTCTGTGAAATCTATGAAAAGACAAAGAAATGACTCGAAGTAGACATTTTGGAGTTCTGGAGAGGTAAAGCTGCAGACACTTAAATCATCGACAGACAGGGGCAAATCACTTACCCACTCTAAATCTCTGTGTTCTCAGTATATCAGGCAAGGGCTATGGGTTTATGAGGAGGAAATGAGATTGAGATATGTGAAGTGTTTGGAGGTAATGCCTGCAATTTATTAAGAATGTAATACAACTAGTAGCCACTTATACTTTTGTGGGAAAATGTCATTGCATTGGCTATGCCTCAAGGGACTCCATACTACTGTATTTCCTGCCTTTGCACAGCTGCTAGTACGTTTTGTGCTCAAAAGTAATTTGTTACTGATTGATTTTATGAGAAGAGGTCTACAGATTTTTTCTCTAGAAGAAAAGTCTATACTTTGTGTACTTGTTCAACTTGAAGAATTAGTTTACCTTCAATTTTCTCAGGTAGCAGGGAGATTGGTGAAAAATGCAGTAGCGTTTGCTTGATGTGATGTTTAGATCTAACACCATGAGTTTTTGTGGGATGAACATCTTCGCATAGAAGTTATAGCTCAAGAGAGACAGCCAACTTGGAATTAATTTCTTAGTTATGTGATCATGGGCACATTATTCAACCTCTTCAAGCTTCAGTTTTATTTATTGGTATAATGCCTATGAAAAGATAAATTAGCTTAAATTGAAACTAGGATTTTGGACCCAAGGCCCAAACTCCTGAGATTCCATATGCCAGATCCAGCCACCCCCCTTTCCCCCCAAATGCCACACAAAGAGGTATGGTGAGGGTAGAGAAAGGAAGCTTATTACACGGCTTGAGACATGCCATGGGAAGAACCAGAGTAAGCACTTAGCCCATCTTTAGCCATCTTTGGGGTACAGACATGAATTACAGGTTTAAACAGACAAAAGAACTGAGGGGCAGGTAAGGTATGCATTGTCACACAGTCCCAGTCACAGGTGAGGTCTCCTTGGTCATTATCTGAGTCCTTGTTCTGGGAGAGTCCTTATCTGGATCCAGGCAGGTGGTCCAGCAAAAGGACCAACTTTGGTGGGTGTTTTGGTTCCTTGTCATAAAAATGTTATTGATCATTCTTGTCCTTTCTTGATTCCAAGGTCGTTGCAAGGTGACTGCCAAGAGAATGAATGGCTTAGAGCAAAGACAGATACTGAATGGAGGAGAGATGCCATGCTTTTCTTGTTTTTAGTTAATTCATAGCCTGAGTAAGGAGTCCATGCTTTTCAGCTAAAGCAATTTGAGTGCTTCTTACAAAATGACTGTAGAAAGATGAAATTAAGTCAGATTCCTAAGACATTTAACAGAGTGCCTTGCCCATACAAACTTCTGGATAAATCTGCAATCTCACTAAGTAACTGGACTAACAACCATTTTTGTATCTGTCATATTCTTCTCCCTTGAGTGAACGATGCAGTCATATCAAGTTACTGTATTGAAATTGAGAAGAGAAGAAGTAGTATTTTTAAGAACTCTAGTACATCCTATATGGATATTCACAGATCCACAGTTTTCCTTGTTTTGGACTTGAAATTAGATGGATAATATATATTTCTGTTTTTGTAAGTTTAGATGACTCTCTTCTTATTTAACAACCTTTTTAAAGGGAACATTTATATTTAGGGGATTAAATGGAAATTGTTCAAACCAAAACTTTAATACAATTGTGGAAAAGAAAGGGTTTACACAACGTAGTAGACATTGGTGATGGAGGAGTTAGCAAGGGGCCTGAGCACTTCTTGGATGAAGGTAAACATTTCCTTCTATTTTTAGCATCAGTTACACTATTAGTTTATAAATTTTGATGTTCCCTTTGTAAGCTAGAGATTTTGATAAGGAAATGTGTTCCAAGACCAGAAGCACTGAAAGAGAAAATAGAATATTCTTATAATTCAGTGGGAAGTAATTTAAATCAATGGCCTAATTGGAAAGTCAAACTGTCTTTAAGAAGAATTTAGCTTAAAGGAACAGCAGGGGGCGGAGCTGGAGAAAGAGAAAAATAACTTTACCTGGGGGCAAATCTCTCACATCCTTTAGTTTCCAAAGTGACTATAGGTGATTTTGGGCCTGTGAGGGGCTGAAGGTTACTAGATGTAGAAAATGGAGTTTAATTGCATGAATTGCTTCCCTGTGTTCCTTGAGGGAAAAAGCCAGCTAAAAACCTCTAGTTATGTGTAGAAAAAGGTCAAACCTGAAGGGTCTTGTTATATCATAGAAAAAGAGAGTTTCAAATTTGTGAAACATTAAACAACCTTTTGAGAGATGATAGTGGGGTGAGGTGGGGAGTTATCTAAATGCTAATTTATCCTTATTTAAAAAATACTTCACTTCTCTCAAATCATAAAGATGAAATGGTTTTGCTTATTCAAAATCCTGTCCATCTGGATAAAAACGTCAAGTAAATAGATGCTTAACCAGAAAAACTTGAGTGTTGCTCTCCGTGAGCCTTACCTTACTCCCTTTACTACGAATTTTCACTGCTCTTGGATTACTGAAGTACATTCAACATTTAAATATTTAATGTGTTGTTCTGATCTCCTAAGTCTGGTTTATTAGCATACAATTTAATGGTAGAATATTATGATAAGGTTACTTCATTAAGATGTGAGATCTAATTCTAGCTTTATCTCTAACACATTCTCTGAGCCTCAGTACCTTTTCTAGTTTATTTTACGTAGATAAGTTAGAGATGCATCCTACTTCTTAAACCTGGGAGAGAAATTGGGAGGGACAAGCACAAGAACATTTGTGTTGCATGGTGAAAAATATCCAGTTCTACAAATGTACATATTTCCTTTTTCAAAACTGTGTTTTCCTGGCATCATTAAATTAAATGAAAGACTAGGACTATTCTGTGTTAGCATTTCAAATATGGTATGTGGGTTGACTCTGTTTAAATCTAAAATGTGGGTATATTGTTCCTTTTTACCATAACTAAATTATCAAAACAACCAATTCATGGGTGAATACGTGTATGGTAGCAACATACACAAATACTGCACAATCACCGTGATCGTCTGTAGGAGAATGATAAATAAACGAGATCCAGCGAAGAGGAGAGAGACACTGCAAGTGTGAAAGAGCTGACTATACAAGCGAGATCATGTGTGTGTCTTTTGAGTTGTTTCCTCATTGTTTCGTCTGTGAGCTAATGCTAGAGGTGTGGGCTCCAGAGTTAGTCTACCCAGGTTCTAATCTTCACACTTGTTGCCTGTGTGATCATGGCAAGTTAAATACCATCTGGAGTTTCAGCTGGCTACCCGAGACAGAAGAACAATAATAGCAACCATGTCATAGAGAGCTGAGGATTAAATAACATCCGGGTAATATCTTTGTACAATATCTGCTGTCAAATAATAGTTTACGTTTGTTTAATGCTTACCATTTTCATTAGCACTTGTGAAATTGTAGATACACACTGGCTCTTCGCTTTTTTAAAGGTGTTTATTCCTACCCATCCTCTCTGAAATGAATGCATCCAGAAAATGAATGCTAACAAAGAGATACAGAGATAAAGGGAATCCAGCAACTCTTACAAAAGCAGAAGAACCACCCTTTTCACTCCTTGCACAGCATCTATTTTTATCAGTTTAGCATGAAGCAGTCAGAAGCCAGAAGCCAAAAGACATCTGAACCTGAGAGAAAGCCCAATATATCCAGACTCTGTAATCCTCTCTCTCAAAACCAAAGACAGCCTCGAATGATGAGAGTGCAGAAAGAAATACTTGGCAGTCCTTAAATCACAGCGTCAGTCCTTAACATTCCCTAAACATCCGCTTCAAATACCGCTCCCTTCAAATATGTATTTCTTATCTGCAGGATTTATAGATATAGCTTTCGTTGCTGCATTTCAGTTCTTAGGAAAATGCATCATAAATAAGTAAGTAAAGACTCTGTGTCCCTGTATTTTTCATTTTGGTAAAAATTTGAGACAAGCAAAAAAAAAAAAAAAAGCTGAACTGACGTAATTATTTCCTCATGTGTGAAATTAGCAATTTCTCAAGGAAGTAAAACTAGGACCAGAGAGCTGGCTCAGATTGCTTTTATTTTACAATGTAGTGGATAGTATATGTATACAAAAAAAGTAGATATTGGTTTATTTCAGAGATTCAGAAAGCTCTTGCATTTAGTGCCTCCCAAATCCCTTTCCAATATTGTTGGATAAGCAGCATGCGCGGTCTGAAATTTCGCTGTGCACACGTGATGAAGCTGCTGTTCCAGCCACTGGAGAGCCTTCCCTGTGCCTTGGTGCTGGCTGCCTTGTTACTGTGTTCAGCTGAACCTTGAGGGTCATGGAGGTGCGTCCCAGCTGGAGTGTGGTGTACCAAGTAATGACCGCAGAGCTGGGGTGCTCAGCTAAACAAGGGTACAAGAAACCTTTAAGAAAATCAGTCCTAGCCAGAATGCTTGTTTTCAACTGTCTAAGGAAAGCCTGGTGAGAA